ATGCAGCCACCAGAAACCTGCTGCATCACTGTCTTGAGGAGGAGGAGACATGAATCCACCATAAATTATTGTCTCCTTCCCAGCCAGGGCGCTTGAATTTACTGATCGACCTCTGCTGTAGGTTATGTTCAGATTCAGAGTAGAGAATTCTCAGTTTGGGCTTTTTTTGTGTGTGTATGTGTGTGTGTGTAAATAATGTGTTGGGCTACAGCAAGTCTTTGTTGACACCGCAGGCAAAAGTCAAGGCGTGTTTTGGATGGTGCAGTAGATCTTCTTGAAGCATCTACTGGTGAGATTCATTCAGCGTGAGGAAACACTGATTGCATTTAAACCTACCTCAGTAATTACTCCAGATCATTGCTGGGAAATGAATACTTCTCTTTTTTTTTTTTTCATTATCCTTACATAATTCCCTTTTTGACCTGTTGGAGGCATGTTGAAAAGCCTTTGTACAGGCTTAGACTGCACAACCTCAAGGGCAGGAATAGGGCAACAACCCCATGGGATGTTCTTCAGCCAACACCAGGAACTGAGCCCCATGCTGCAGTTTAATTATAGCTGATGACACAACAGCATAGCTCCCAAATCAAAGGTTGCCCTGGGAATCACCGTGTCTTAGAAATATATTTACCATCAATTGTCTTTCTTGCTTCCACCAGGTTTTTGCTCCAAAGGAGAAGCACAAACCAAACCCAACGTGGAATAACAAAGTTTAACAACAACTCTCTGTTGTAAATCCAGGAGGGAGGTTGCTGCACCCACCCACCCCCCCGGGGGGGCAGAGCAGACTCTCTTTGCTCAGCAAACAGCCCCAGGGCATGTCCAAAGGGATAAGTGTTTAGATGATCACCTCTTCTTTCAAAGCAGATGGGTATGAAAAGTCTTTGGAGTTACTTAAACTGGCAAAACTACAATTCCCTGTGAGTCACAAAGGTGAAACCCTGTTTCATTTTCAGATCCCAGCTTCTACTAAATAACTTGCTGCTTCAAAGGGATGAGAGTTTTAGGAATCTGGATCTGCAAAAGGAGCCAGGTCGCTGAGTTTTCCTAACCACTGTAACTGAACTAAGCTCAAGTGTTTATGTTGATCTGCTTGGCTCCATTTTCAATATTCTTAATTAATTTTTTTTAATTGTAGCAATGCTTTGACTTGTTCAGAGTCAGGGAGAGGAATGAGGATGGAGGTTTGAAATACATCCTGCCTGAAATGTGGTTAATTTGTAAGCTTTACTCCCTGTCTTGTATCCAGATGGGAATATTGAAGCTGTTCCTTGCTCGTGTATGGTGAGGGACAGACTCCTGTCACCCCAGAGAGGTGATTAGAATGTAAAACTCGAGCTCTGGTGAGTTTTTATCCCCCTCTTACCCCTGTAATCCCAAACCCTCCCTTTTATCTAACACCTGAATTCGCATGCCGCTCGCTGCTTCTGCAGAACATTCCTTCCCGGGATTTCAGAGCCCCTCACCCATGACTGTTTCAGGTTTCACAGGTGAGATTCCCCGGCCAGGGCACTCACAGGGCTTCAGCTCCCAAATCATCACGCTTGGGGGCTCTGAGGTGTGTGGAGGTTGAACACAGCCCAGCCACCGTCTCTGCCCGGGGTTCCTAGCCATGGTTTTGGGGTGTTTCTCGATCTGGCACCCCCTGCTAACCAGAGAGAGCTCCAACCCAGGTGCCTGGATTCTGGGACTGGTGCCAATCTTTAAATTCCCTCAGAGCTCCAACCCCCGCCCAGGACAGCAGTTCTGCAGTTGCAGAAACACTCTGGTTGCTTTGGGCTTCAGCTGCCCTGATGTACCCGTACCTGGACACACGTTCCTGGGGATGTACCTTTGTCCCTCTGCAGCAGCTGCCTGATGCTAAGAGCCTGTTTTTCCAATCCCTCCAGGGATGGGGACTCCACC